CCCCAGCAGCCGTTTCTGGTTGGCTTTCTTGAGGATGTTCTCCTCCACCGTGCGCTCGCTGATCAGCCTGCAGGTGAGAGCACAGGTGAGAGCACAGGTAACACAGGTGAGAGCACAAGTAACACAGATGAGGCAAGAGACACGAGACAGGCGCCCAAACACCCGCACAGGTGTGCCCTCAGCTGCCCAGGTGAGCTCATAACTCCCAAACACCCGCACAGGTGAGGCCGTAACTCCCACGAACCCCTGGGAGAGCCCCCTGGGTGAGCCGCGGCCGCCCAGGTGCGCTCACCTGTAGATGTGCACGTCGCGGGTCTGGCCGATGCGGTGACACCTGTCCTGCGCCTGCGCGTCCATGGTGGGGTTCCAGTCCGAGTCGTAGAACACCACGGTGTCGGCCCCTGCCAGGTTGACGCCGACGCCGCCCGAGCGCGTGGACAGGATGAAGCAGAAGATTCGCTTGTCGGCGTTGAAGCGTTCCATCAGCGCCTGCAACACGCACAGGTGAGGGCGGGGCACACCTGGCGGGGCAGGCGGGGAAAGGCCTCCAGGTGAAGGGTGGGAGGAGGAAACGGGACAGCTGAGGTGCACACCTGGGCACACCTGGGGTATCTGGGAGTGACCTCAGAGCACCTGGGAGTGACCTCAGGGCACCTGGGAGTGAGTCCCAACCCCAGGTGTGTCCCAGGTGTCTCTAACACTGCCCAGGTGTGTCCCAGGTGAATGTAACTGTCCCCAGGTGTGCCCCAGGTGTCTGTAACTGTCCCCAGGTGTGGCCCAGGTGTCTGTAACTGTCCCCAGGTGTGCCTCAGGTGTCTGTAACCGTCCCCAGCTGTGCCCCAGGTGTAACCGTCCCCAGGTGTGCCCCAGGTGTCTGCAGCACTGCCCAGCTGTGGCCAGGTGTGCCAGGACTCACCTGTCTCTGCTCGACGCGGGTGGAGCCGTCCAGGCGCAGGTAGATGTGGCCGTGGAAGGTGAGGAAGCGCTCCAGCACGTCGAGCATCCGCGTCATCTGCGTGAAGATCAGCACCCGGTGCCCCCCGGCCCGCAGCCGCCGCAGCAGCACGTCCAGGGCCTGCAGCTTACCTGCGCAGGTGGGACACCCACAGGTCAGACAGGTGGGATAGGGACAGGTGAGACAGGTGGGACACTGACAGGTGAGATAGGTGAGACAGGTGGAACAGGGACAGGTGAGACAGGCAGGACAGGTGGGATAAGAAAGGGCAGGTGGGACAGATAAACAGAACTGATAACAGGTGAGACACACCTGAGACAGGTGAGGCACCCCCACACCCCAAATGTCCCAAATGTCCCTGGGGTCCCCAACACCCCAAACATCCCCAA